TGGCTTCACCGCTGTGCGGCGCCGGAGCCTGCGGGACGAGGGGCGGCATCCTCCCGTCCAGCACTTCATCTCTCCGCCAGTGCTAAAAATTAATGAACATGCTGCAGGACAGCTGTAATGTGCAGGATGAAGACAGGGGCTGCTTCAAGGTGGATTTATAAGGCATCATAAAGAGCAGGGAGTGGGGGTGCAGATCGAAACAAAAGAGCTAATAAAGATGCAGCATCAGTGATGTCTGCAGGACCTTGGGCCAACTGATCTCTTTAGATAATACCAAGAAGATTGCTCAGTTCGAAGGAAAGAGCAGGAAGAGATAACAGCACTCTTCAGGGATGGGGCAGGTACCACCTGCCGTGCTGGCAGCCCTCTGTAGCATCTCCAAGGGGCAAACCCAGCATCACTCTTAATCAGCTCTGGAGCCAGGGCGCTGAGGCTGCAGCCCGCCTGTCAGACACCGGGCTGCCGCGGCGGGCACACAGGCAGGTGGCCGCGTTAGTGATGTGGTGCTGGATGGCTTGGAGCCACACAGGCAAGAGGGAGTGGAGGCTGCTCCGTGACAGCTTTTCTCCATCCCCTTCATCTTCCCCCATAACTCTGTCCCACCCTGAGGGAGCCTGGCTTGCTGCGGTTTTGCTGTGTTGGGATGCCCCCAGGGTTTCTCCCCTTCTGCTCCCTGCCCACTCTTGCCTCCACGTAGCCCTTCCCCCTGGGAACCGCTCCTGGGCTCAGCTGCTGGAGCAGGGATAGAGGCGCAGAGCCCCTGGCCTGGCTGCACCGACATCTGTTCCCTTTGGCAGTGCCTGTTGCTCCTGGGAGGTCACCAGCCCGTAAGAAGCATTTGGGCAGAGCCAAGCTGGAGGGGGACTGTGCCACATCCATCATTGTATCCCCCACTCCTGCACTAGGTGACCCTACAGTGATGGTGCACAGAGAGATGACAGGAATGAGCCTTGTATATGCGTCATTGGGATTTGGTCTGAATTATTGCCCAGGGATTGGCTGGGAAGGAGATGTGGCCACTGGGCTGTTTCCCTGTGCTCTCCTCTCCTGGCACTTAGTGCCTGAGAATGTGATGCCAGCAGTTAGATACAGAAACTGTAAGTAGTACTGCCCCACTAGATCTTAATTTGTACTTTCTAAAAGGTATCCTTGGGGAGCAGAACCCAGTGACGGGCTCCCCAGTGTCCAGCACCAGCCCTGCCTAGGATCCACAGACTCCCCCCAAAATCAAGACACGGGACAATGAGCCGTGGGCTGCTGCCTGGATCAGCCACGCAGTGCAAGCACACATCCACCTCTGGTTGCTACAGCTAGGGAGGGGGGGGCAGGCTTGCGTTAGATGCTGCAGGTATAAAACACACGCCAAGGGATGCCTACCAGAAGATCCTATAAAGCTCCGCAGGAGCCAGCACAGTCTCCCACCCCAGCCATGTGGGCATCTGTCTACAGCAATACAAGCCAGCCTGGCAGCACTCACTCACTAGCAGTCTTCACATATTGTAACTATATGCACCGAGATGTCTGAGAAGATGGAAATAGATAAAATGCAACAAAGTGATCCCCAGCCCACCTCTAGGCAGCCAGGAGCAGTCCCTGGGAAAGAGGAGAAGGCAGCTCTGCCTGGATTCCCAAGCAGGCAGGACAGGCTGGCCCAGGTGCCTAAGGTGGCCCTTACCTGTACCCATCTATGAAGCTGGCATTGATGTAATCGGAGCCCTCGACACCCCGGATGGGCTGCAGACAGACTCTCGTCAGCTCGTATGGCATGATGTTCACAAGGCGGTTCTTGAATTTGTTGCATGGGAGGTTGGCACTGATGAAACGTGAGGTATGTGCTTTAGAGTTGGCCAGCAGCTGAAAGAGGAGGAGACATGTCAGACCCCCGCTGGGGCTGCAGCAGTCTCGGGGCAAAATCAGGACCCTGGCAGCAGGGCAGGCAGGATTCCCTCTGGGCACACAGCCACGCTCCCTCCTCTGACCAAGGGACAGCTGCTGGGGACCACGTCTTTCCGGACCAGACGAAGGGCTCTGCCACCACATGACGAGGAGGCTGCACCTGGCTGCTCTGTTTCACAGTAATCAGTCTGTTTTTCAGTACTGCATCGGCCCCTCTGCTGCGGCACTGCACACCTAGGCACGGCACGGCCTTGCTGCTGGCTTTTGGTGCATGGCTGTAGGTGACAGCAGGGGAACCACCTGCACTGACCCGCCAGCGCAGCCCCCAAGGCACCCATAGTGGAGTGGAGACCCACAGCAGCTCTCTGACCCACAAAGGGCCAGGACATGAAGCTTTGTACCTCGCTGAACCAGGGACACAGGCCTGGTGGCATCAGGGAAGGAAAGCTTTCCATCTTCCAACGATGTCTTGCTATTTACTTCTTACCCCAGAAGAACCCAAGAAAAATGTGAGAATTGTGACAGTTTTAGGTAAAGAAGATCTATTTTGGGTTACTGTGAGACATTTTATGGTTATCTTTGAGCCCTGTAAACTGGAGTCACGGTAAATGTGTTACTTAGATCTGCTGGCAGAGACATTCAAACAGAAGGCCCTCTTTTTTTTTCCCCTCCTTTTTCTTTTATGTCTTCCCCCCGCCCCGCCCTCCTTCCCCAAAAGACTGTCTCTGGCATCTCCAGAGCCACCCTTCTCTCTATGGCAGCTGGTCCTTGGCAGAGGCTCCCTGCAGAAGGACAGGGTTGCTCTTTGGGGAGTGATGCAGCCACGTGAGGCCCTCCCATATCCTGCTCCCCAGGGTTTCCCATGCAGTGGACGCTGCCAGGGCACAGAGAGGGGCAAATTTTATTACTGTTCTAAAGAGACCCTTGGAGAAACAGCAAATTTTTGTCTGTCTTACAACAGAGTTGCTAGAGGTGAGCCTAATTCTGTGGCTCTCTTAAGGGGTTTCTCAGGGCAGGTGTCACCATGAGATACTAATGCAGTATGTTCTACTGTCCCAAGCCTGGGACACCAGCAGCTCTGGTAACCACAGAACAGAGCTGCTCAGCTATTCCCAGTTTATGCAGAAAGTCAGTATTTTGCCTCCTCTGCTCCTTTGTCACTTGGAGGGAATCCCCAGGGTGAAGCTGTGTTGCTGCAGTTCATTTCAGAGCCTGCATGGTCTGCTGCCTTCCTGCATAAGCTATATTCCCTTGCATGAATTCACTGGACTAATGCACCTCATCTGAGAATATGGGCGCTTACCAGAGCTCACTTCCATCTCCATGGCTGTAATAAATATCTGCCATTGGCGTTCATGGATACAGATAGCAAAATGTGGGCTTGGCTTCTTAAAAACAGCGTGCCTTAAAACACTACCTTCACCAATTCTAGACACTGAGGCTTAGTGTCGAGGCGGTTAAAAGGTAACAGAGCTCAGCGTTGAAGAAATGAGACTATAAACGTCTCACATATTTAAATTGGAGCCATTTCCAGACAAGTTGTTCACAGTAACATCAATTATCACTAACACGATCTGCATCTGATTTCAGATGCAGCTCCTGCCTCACAGTGAACCTAGAGCAGAATGTGCTGCTGAGAACTGCGCATCCATCTGCCTTTTATATCCTCCCCAGAAGCTGCCAATCCAGGGGGGACCATGGCCAACACAAGCTTTACAATTCAAATGTATTTTAAATCACTGCCTACCTGGTTTAGAAACACGCAAAGAATAACTGTCTGTAACCATCCATGGCTCCCCTTTCCCAACCCCTGGACGCGTGGCTCGGTGGGGCTGTGTGGGCAGACAGGGCGCTGGGGAAGGGGGGTGCTGGGGCTCTGTCACCAACCTTGAATTCCAGTTCCATCGCAGTAACGCTCTCGCCTGGCGGCACCTGGGTCAGCTTCTGGATGTGAGCAAAGAGGTTGCGTGCAGGCACCTCGGTATTGCCACACGCGGCTGCCTCCAGCAAGGCCTCGTGGATGAAGATGTACTGGTCCTCTGTCTGCACCATGTAGTTGCGCTGAGAGCGCATGCACGTCACGTGGCCATAGATGTCCACGGTCTTCTCATGCTTCATCCGCTCCAGCATGGCATCAATGACAATGAAGCAACCAGTTCGGCCCACGCCGGCACTGCGGGAACAAAGCACGTGGCCTGAGATGACACTGTCTCCTACAGATGCTACACAAGCTCTGCTCTTGCTTAAGAGAGCACCTGGACCTAGAGCGCACAAAAGGGGAGTAAAGGCTGCTCCCCACATTGAAGGCTAACGAGCTGAGCCCCAAACAAGAGGTGACGGGAGGAGTGAGGGAGAATGTGTGAAGCTACCCAGCCTTTCTGCTGTCCCCCTTTCACTGATGGAGTGGACAGGACGTGGCATCACTTTGCTGGTCCCTGTGGTGGCTGGCAGCACCTCCACAAAGGAAGGAGAAATGTGTTTAACAGGCAGGAGAGCAACAGCGTACGTGTGTGTGAAGTCAGAAGACCTGAAGTCCGGGCTGGGCCCTGGCACCAGTGAAGCCCATAATTTCAAGCCTGCTTGTCCCCTAACCTGGGTCACTGTTTCCTAACACATAAAACGAGGACAGCCAGCCCGAGAGGGGAAAGCAGAAAGGTGAGGTCACGCGTGTCTATGCTGAGCCCTTTGCTCAAGCACCGGATGCCTCTCCACGTCTGTTGGAAGGGCAGTAGCAATCCCCAAACTGCTCTCCCTGAGAGCACCCTGAAAACAACAGACATGCTGTCGTGACATGTAAACACAGGCAGAAATAGTGAGCTAGACATTTCCTCATTTATGGTGCAAGTCAGATCCTTAACAGGGCTTTAATATAGCTTGTTTGTGTGTTAATTATACCCCACTCTCATCTGAAACAGAGCATGAAAGAAGAGCATTAAACACTGTTGGTAAGGCGAATGCTGGAACAGCAATGATGGAGTGGTTTGTTCAGTAATAGTCCCCACTCGGCTGGTATAGATAAATCTTGCCTGGATAAGATGCGGAGCCTTAGTAGACTAATATTTTGCTTAAAAAGCTGCCTTTCTACCCTGCGAAAGAGTTCTACTGTAAATAATATGTATGAATGTTTGTAGAGGTCACTGCACGCGTGTCTGTCAATGATGTGCCTCTGAAAGGTACCACCTACTTACGCTGGGCACAGATCACTTCATTTGTAAATAGCACTTGCAGTTTTGCAGGAAGAAGTGTTTTCTGAGGCTCTCCATACAGCAGTGCTGTTTAGTCTGACAGAGCAGTAGCAATGCAAATGTCACCAACTGCATTGCCGCTGCTGGTTGCCAAGCTGTTCCCAGCCCAAGTGTGCAGCACAGGTTGTGCTACCATGAAACCTTCCCTGCAGGGACAGGAGACTCCGCTTTTAGCTGGACAGGTTAAAGCTCCTGCAGTCAGAAGGCATGCGCCCAGGTGCGGCTACACAAACACGCAGTCCTACCTGCAATGGACAACCATGGGCCCAGCATCCGGTGGGTTACAGGCCTTGACCCGTCGCAGGAAAGCTAGGATCGGGGTGGGGTATTCTGGGACCCCGTGATCGGGCCAAGCCATGAACTGGAACTGTCGCAGCTCTCGCTTCTCACTGGAGCCATTCTGTTGAAGACAAAGAGGAGTTGTTTTGCACGAGAACAGCCTCATCCCAGGATGGGAACCCACTGATGGGGCAGCAAGGTACCCAGCTGGCTGGGTAACAACATGCATGTAATGCTGTGCGTGACCATGTGTGTATTAGGTTTTGCCACTGAAAATTTGGAGGCAAAATATAGGCTTCTTGCAAGGCTCCTGTACACGTACATGCTCTGTGGAAAGCCACCTGATACAGACAGCAGAGCAGCTCTGTGGGAGCGGAGTAGACTGAAGGGAAGGTGAAAGACTCCTTTCTGCACAACACGGGGTCACTACCCGCATACTCGCTCCACGTTCAGGGAAAAACAGGCACGGGGTATGGAAGGGCCACAGCAGCCAGTTCCCTCCCTGCTCCTCTGTATCATGGGTCTCTTCGGGATGGCTGATGAGCCCGCGTCTGCAGACCGCCCTGCTTCTGTCTCGGCTTGGCCGAGTGATCTATACAGCAATGCCGTAGGACTGGCTGGGTGACTGCCGGGGGCGAGATGCCTTCCTGGGGTGTGAGTGTGTCCCCATCGCACACTGCTGTGCTCTCTCTGCTGGCGTGGCCCAGACCCAGTCACGCACAGAGGCAGCCCGCTGCAAAGCCTGTTTGCATTGCCGTGACACGCTGCTGCTAGCACTGCCCCCAGGGATTTCCAAACACTAATGAGGTACGCAGCAGGCAGGAGAGAAGGGCTTGTGCACACGTCAGCATGGCCCCTCCATTTGCATTATTAGTGACAGGAGCACTAAAAATTCACTGCTTTCCATGTTGTCCCTCTAGCAGGAGGACAGCTGTTACACGTACACTTGCCAGAGGCAAGCACGGCCCCCGCTCTGGGGCCCATCACAGGGCTGGAATGCATACAGGAGAGCATCAGATGTCCTGGCTAAAATCCAGCGGTGGCCAGATGCACAACCTGCACCTGGTCTCCCACTGTAGCCCCGCTGTGAGAAATGGCCCATGTGCGGACTAGCCACACACTTGTCCAAGCCAGGCACAGCCAGCTGCCTCTGCATGTGGGCCGTGCAGCACTCTGCAGCATCGGGGAGTGGCCCTGTATTACCTGGAGCAGGAACAGCCCAACCAGTGCCATACCTTGTACAGTGCAAAGGTGCGGACAGTGTAGGTTGCCAGCTCGACTGTGTCCAGCAGGGTCACCTGGATCATCCCATAGGTTTCCGTACCCCGGCTCGGCCAGTACTGGTCACACTTGACCTGCAGGGAGGAGAGGAGAAAGGATCAGTGCTTGGCTGCTGGCTGGGGCTTTTGGGGTGAGGAACAGGGCTCTTGCCCTTCAAAGGATAAAGGCAGAAAAGAGTCACTGTGCAGGGGGGCCCCAAACACCAAGATTTCCTTCTCCTGGAGCGTCCCAATCCTCAGCAGAAAGGCAGCATACACTGGGCTCCTTTCCACAAGAACTGTATTCAGAGGGATTTTTTTTTTTTTTCCTGGAGCCACTGGTGGGAAGAGTCTAAGGGGGCCAGGCCACCAGACCCAGCAGCAAGAGCAGCACCAGGTATGAAGACAGTGTGCAGCAATCACTAGCAGTGATTTGTGCCTGCCATAATTTTTCTTCTCTGCCTCCTGTTTGGGAAGATGGGGGTTTTCAGGACTGTGCTTGCAGCATCCCCCTGCCTGGGCTCCACCTGGATGGAGAGAAGTTCGGCAGCTGCGGGTTGGTGGGAGGAGAGCTGGTGAAGCAGGGCAGGGGAAGCGGTGGTTTCTCTGGGGAAGGCTCTGCTCGAAGATCAGCTGAGGCGAGGGAGATGCAGCCTGCATCCCCACCAGCTCCCTGCTATCCCAGCCCAAAGTCTTCATCCTGCAGCACTGAGGTGAGACAGGACGCAGCTCTGAGTCCAGCACGGTACACAACAATACAACAACAGGCACTACCTTTCCCCATAACATCCGCAGTCCCCGGGGTGCCCCTGCCAGTGTGGCCCCCAGGCAGCAAACCTGGGGAAAGCCGGGACACAGCCCACACCAGGCCTCCAGCCCAGATGCTGTGTCCACGGGGCTGACCCTGCCACCCTTTCTGCATTGCCGTAGGCTCAAGTGCATTGAGCATCCCGGAGAGACCCCAACCTACCCTTCTGGCAGGTGGCGCATCCCTGGGAATCTGCATCTCCCAGGTGTTTCAACAACTGCTCCGCAGCAAGGCACAGATGCCAACTGAGACACAGACACGACTTGTTCTCCCTCTGTGAGAAGACACAGACTGTGGCCAAACCATCCCTTCAGCCCCTTCCTGCTGGCAGCACTGCTCCATCATGAAAATACCGCTGCTCCCTAGAGACCCCCTGCCCTGCAGCATCCTTTATCTCCCTCTCCCAGCTCCGCAGCCTGAGCGCTTCGAGCTACTGGTCACTGCTCCTGCTGCAGCCCACTTGGCAGAGAGCCCTAACTCATCCCCAGGGCCCCATCCCTCTGACCTCTTCATCTCCCTGTGCATCCCTCCCTGCTCACCTGCTGATGCCCTCTTCCTCCTCCTCCTCACAGCTCAGCATTTGCAAACTACTCCTCCAGTTTTGTTCTCTCCAGTTTTGTTCTCTCCAGCCCTGAGCTCCCTATTTAATTTGGCACCCTGAGCACCCCTATTTCATCTGGCAGCCGGCTCCCCCGTGCTGCAGAGCTGCGGTGCCTGGCTGACGGAAGGAAGACTTCATTCCCACCCATGTGCACTGCACTGAAAACAGTTTCCCGCCCTAGGAGAGAGGAGTGAATGGAAGATCATCTGTGCTTGTCAAGGAATAGTAAACTTAATTATTATCCGAGCGTGTTTACAGGGGAACGTGTGGGAAGGAAAACAACAGGCTTAATTAGAAATCAATGAAGTTCTGCCTTTTAATTGAAGGCACTTTAAGCAGGTGGGGCTTGTGAAAGCTAAGAGCCCTCCCTCATCCTGCACTCTGGCTGCTGGAGTGCAGCAACCTGGGGTCAGGGGGATGCATCTGTCCCTGCTTCTTTGGGGTCTGCTCTCAGTACGTCCTGCCCTGGCAGAAGGACCTGGAGCAAGGCTGCCTGATGGGGTACTGCAGGCGCCTGCGTGCCCAGAG